TTCAAAATTGGAATAACTTTTGCAATTTTTAGACGATCAGGAAAAACTCCTTGGTGGACAGATGATTTATAAACTTTATAAAGAATAATTTTGAGATGATCAAAACACTCGATAATTATGTCACCATTTATTCCATCAGCTCCAATAGCTTTTTTTTTTTTAGTGATTTGAAGGCAATTTGGAATTCATCAAAAGATAATTCTGAGTATATTTCTTTGGAATAGTTGCAATCATCCTTTGGTACTAAGAAATCATTAAATGCGACTGGGGTAAAGGGAACATTATTAGCTAATTTAGGGCCGATTTCGATAAAGTATTTATTAAATTCGTTAGATATAGCTTTTGATTCATAAATACTTTTGTTATCAACTATAATCATTTTATTATTTTTTTTATTAAGTGCGCTTAGAGTTATTTTTAAATTTGTCTAATATTTTAGAGTAATAATTTTTTTTTAGGCGTTTACGAATTTTTTCGAACAAATATTTATAATCTTTGTATATTTTTTCATTTTTAGACGATTCCGTTTTAAGATATTTTATATACAACTTCTTTTTTGTTTTAGATGACTTTTTGAAACCCTTGGTAACCCAAGGGTTATTAAATTTTTTTATTTTAATTGTTTTTTTAAAAATTAGAAAGTTTGCATCATATACGGCGTAAAATGTTTTAAAGAAGGTCTCATAAATGGTGCCAACATTCCCCTTGAAATTAATCTGATCCCAGTGCAAAAGAGATAACTGATTTTCAAAGGGATTCATATTGGTTAGATTAAAATCTCGAAAAAATATTGTTTTAGAATTATTATTAATCGAAGCGTTTGAGTTAAGAGTCAGAAAAACTGGGAAATGATCAGAAATGTCAGATTTTAAAATAATTATGCTAATGACTTTTAAACCAATGTATTTAGGTTAAGTTTTGTAGGTAATTTTTATTCCTCCTTGAAAAAATTGTGAAAAAGTTAAGAACCACAGAACAAAAAACGGTAATTTTTACCTAATACCGCATAATTCTACCATTAATTTTTAAAGACTCATTTATACGATTTGGCATTGAGTCAATTAAATTCTCTAAAATACCTTTGCGAATATTTCCAAGTATCGTTTGTAAAATATTGCACAACTCCTAAGGCTCCTTGGTGCTTTTTTAACAAACTCAAGCCAATTATCAAGCCAACTCCAAAAATTTTCAATGCAATTTAAATTTTTTATTTTTTAATTTTTTTTTTATTTTTACAATGTTGTGATTCTACATGACTGGTACAATGTTATAATGTTTTTAAATATATAATACTAAAAATATATCACAATTTTATCGAATACAAAAAATATGATTCTAGGGTATCATTAATATTAAAAGAACGCGGGAAACTTGCAGAAGACCAGATGGTCTTGTCATCAAGAAACCGCTGGTACTTGTAATATTTTTTGTATTGTCGTTTTACAATGTATCTAGTTTCACAAAATACTTCATTTTATATTAGGTTCACATATAATAAAATGTAAAAATAAAAAGTTGGTAAATGCTGTTTGTAGTACACATAATACACATAAATATATTATTAGGCATAAATATAATTATTATTGACTTATATTGATTTTTTATATTAATATATATTATTGAAGTTTTTTTGGATTTTGTTTTCAATTATAATTTTTGTTTTACTTTCAGTTTTAGTTTAGTGTAAGTTCAAATAATTGTTGATATTTAAAACGAACTTTTTTAGTAAGTTTTTCAAACAATTTATGTTATCTAATTTTGTAAGAATGGCATTTTTGGATATCAGTTTATTATAGAGATAGGGACCGCGATATGAAATTGTGAAACGCGTCAGTTTTGTTTTTCTGAACGGGACATTAAAGTTTCCTACTTCTCTAGTGTCATATCTATTTTTATTGCTTTTAAAGAATTCATTTAAGAAATGTGAGTTTAAATTTTAGGGTGCAATGCAAGAAGCGAACTTGAGTCAAGCTCGACTTGAACTTTACAGTATAACCAATACCGACAGAGTGTGGGTTTTCCCCTCAAAAAATACTCTGCCGCTATTGGTTACAAAATTAAGTTCAAGTCGAACTTGACTCAAATTTGCTTCTTGCATTCCACCCTTAGCATGAAGAGTAAGTTTTGGTAAATGTTAATTCTATAGACGTTTAGTGCATTTAGGAGTTTAAACAAAGGTTCAGCATGAGTAGTTTATCTTTTTTATAGACAATTCTAATGGCATTTTTTTGATGTTGATAAAGTGATTTAAAATTAGACTTATGGGTACTGGCCCATGCTATATTACCATATGTATAATTTTTTATTTTTTTGAGCAGAATTTCATGATCAACAATATCGAATGCTTTTGATAGATCTATAAAGATTCCTAGAACATATTCATTATTATCAAATGAGTAGTTGATGTTATTTACAAGATCTATGATTGCATGTTCGGTTGCATGTTGTTTTTGAAACCCAAACTGTTTTTTATTTAAGGTGTTATTGTTTGTTAAATATATGTACAGTTTATTACAAATTATTCGTTCGATAAGTTTTGAGAATACAGGAAGGATTGAGATTGGTCTATAGTTGTTTAGTAAATATGGTTCTCCAGTTTTATATATAGGCACAATTTTTGCAATTTTTAATTTCTCTGGAACGGTCCGTGTTATAATTGAAGATTTAAATATTTCGAAGAGGGTTTTTTTTTATTATCGGAAAGATATTCATTACTACATTGCTACAAATTTCATCAATTCTTGGTGCTTTGTTAATTTTTAAAGAGTTTTTTGCATTTTCGAGTTCTTCATAGCTTAATCCATTGAAAATTAGTTCGCTATTTAGATCTGTAAGATAATTTTCAAAGGAGTCATTTGTAGTTAGAATTTTAGACGCCATGTTTGGGAAATGTTTGCAAAGAAATTGTTGAAGTGTTCGGCAATTAAGTTCTTATCATCGTGTTCGGTTTCATTTACAATGACTCTATCGGGTAAACCATTTGTTTTTTTGTTTTTTTTTCCCGATTATTTCTTTCATAATGTTCCATGGTTTTTTCATGTCTTCATTTGTTTTTTGAAGTAATTTAGAGTAGTAAATTTTTTTAGAATGTTTTTTGATTTTTTCGAAAAGATTTTTGTATTGTTTATAAGTAGATAGGTTAATCTCATTTCTGTTTTTTAAATATCTAACGTATAGTTTTTGTTTTGTTTTAGAAGATTTTTTATTACCGCTGGTGATCCATGGACAGCTCAAATATTTTACTTTTATTTCTTTTTCTTTAATTGGAAAATAATTATTATAGTGCTTTAGAAAAATATCTGTAAAAGTATTATATGCAGAGTTTGTGTTCCCAAGGTTATATTCTTGATACACTTTAACCCAATCTACTGCCGATAGTTTGTCTTTAAAATTTTGAATTGAAAATTTATTTATTTTTCTTTTATAAGTTATTTTTTTCAAATTATTATTTACTCTTGTATCATTTTTTATTGTAAAGTAAATTGGAAAATGATCTGTTATAACAATTTTTACTATTCCTGCTTTTAAGGAGGTATCTAGAAATGATTTTGTTAGTATGTTATCTATGGCAGAAATAGAATTTAAAGTTACCCGTGTGGGTTTATTAATAATTGGTAAAATACAATGTTGAAACATGTTATCAAAAAATAATTTAGTAATCGGAAACTCATTTTATTTTAAACAATCTATGTTGAGGTCCCCAATACAGAATAACTTTTTTTGTTCTTTATTGATTTTGAGAAAAATTTCTTCTAGATAATTAGAAAAAGTTTTAATATTACCTTCAGGTGGTCTATAACAGGTTGAAACAATAATATTTTTAAACTTGGAGTTTATAGACCTCACTATCGGCATTAGAAATGGAGTGGTCTTTTCTTACTTTTATTGCTTGATCAATCCGAACATAAGTTGCAATCCCTCCTCCTTTTTTCCATGTTTTTCTTTTAGAAGATATTAATTTATAATTGGGAATTTGAAAGTTAGTGTTATTTTGGATCTGGGCTATTTGGTGATCTGGGCTATTTGGTGGCCAAGTTAGACGCTCAATATTTTTGCTTTCGAACTATTCAGAGACAATTTTAGCCCTGTACTATGGTGCATTGTCTTGCTAAAAAATGAACGGAACGTTTTGCTCAAGTGCATCAATTGATGGTAACAAATTGTTATTTAAAATATCGACGTAATAAATAGAGTTGAGTCGACTATCAAATAATTTAAACATAACGAGACCATAATATGTCATGCAGCACCATATTCCAACCGACCCGCCACCTTGTTTTGTTCTTTGAACAATACAATTTATACAAGATTATATTACTAAAGATTATATAGATATATATACAAGATTATATTTTTCTGAAGGCTGCCTGCAAATCATAATTCGGTTTTTTCGGTTATCAATCTCAATATTCATCTCATCACTGAACATTGCCCAGCAAACATTGAGCAGTCGGACCGACAACGGACCGCTGTCAGCACTTATGCCGTGCCGACGTCGGCCGCCCGCTGCGTTGCCGCGTAGGCTTGCACATCGTATTTACATCGGTCCGTTAGCAGCAATCTGCAGGCGGCTCGATAGCGGTCCGATGGCGGCAAATCGCAAACTTTTTAACAACAGTCCGTCAGCGGCAAACCGATGAAAAAACGATAGCGGAATAACATAGGACCTTTTATATGTTTTGATCAAGATTGGAATGCATTAATATGCATATCATTTTTTTTTTTATTAGAACAAAACGCACTTAAAGGAAATTTTTAAATATTTTTAGCTCAATTTTTACGCTAAAAAGAATGGCAAACCCTGCTTAAACCTGGAAAGCACATCAAATACCTTTCAACTTTGTGCTTAGGTATATAGCCATTAAATACTTATTAAATCAACACAAATTTAGTAAATAATACTCATAACATAAAGAAACACTACCATAACTGTAAATCATTAGGTCATACGTTGCAACGCTTAAGCTCGGTGAACAAATATATGAACAAAAAGAACAATCTGAAGTAATAATAAAATCCTTTTAAGATTGCAATTTACAATTATAACATAAATATTAAAGTAACAAAAATTTTTTTTTATATCTAAAACATAATATAAAAGATATTAACATCTATCGACTTTGCTTAACTTGCGTTTGGAGAACCTCCTTTGGAGTATTTCTAGTTTAAAAAGTTAATTGTAAACACTTTATATATAAGTTCAGTTTATTCTCATTTCAATCGGAAACTAAATATATTCGAGAAGCCATAACGTGTTGAAATCGATTTACGTTGCAGTCTGCAGACTTCTAATTTTTACCTAAAAGCAGACAACAATATCCAATCAAAATATTGAAACATTTCAGTTTAGAGCTATTATAACGAAAAAAACTAACCTTCTCAGCCCTTAAAGACGTTACGTTTAAAAGTTTCATCGCCAGCTATTGACAAGTAACTCCACATACTAAGTGTATCTGCATTGAATAAATGTAAAATTCATTTTAATATCAAAACATAATTTAACAGATAAAAACAGCAAAAACATTGTTTAATTTGAAAAGTTATGTAACTACTTTTAAAAAGCTATATAAAAATAAAGTCATATTATGTGCTTTTCTTGAAAAAAGTAAAACTTAATAAACAGTAAGCTTAAATACAACTTCAGACTAATGCTCTACTTACCAATATAGTTGAGCGGTTGAAATAAGTATCTTTTTTCATGTAACAAAAAGTCGACATTTGAATTAGAAAAAATCTAAACATGAAAAAGACAAGAGTAAGTCACTATTATGATATTAAATTGCAGGAATGTTTTCAGATGCCTAGTTTTTATGATAATTATATTAAAGCAGACACTGATTTATAATTAAAATAGAAAAACTATCCATTTAAAACGAGCATAATAAACTAACCTTTTCAAACTTTAAAGGCATCATTTGAAGCAAATATGTCTTATTGCCAGTTATTAGCAAGTAACTCCATCGACTATGTGTATCTACATTGAGTTACTACCAGTTTTTTCTAGGACATCTACCATGTCTAAATAAAATTATAGTTTTATTATTGAACATAGTTTTCACTGTACAAACAAAAGTGTAGCTCAATATAAAAAACTATGAAAATAACTTGAGAAAAATGAAAGCTATAAAATTAGAATAACTACCATACCGGCGCCATAATTTTCAAATGATTGAGGGTTTTAAACAAGTACAAACTTGTGACCATATTAAGAACACAAAAATTTATTCAAAATCTTCAATCCAGTTTGCAAGTTAAACAACTCTGCTAAACCCATGATAATATTAGGATCATGGCCGACATAACCCTTGGACAACATGGAGACAAAAGCAACTAAACCTGCAAATAAATATTAGTAAATCAGTAAATCAAAGTGTGACATTAAGTCAAAATAATTTTCAAGACAATCTTAAAAAAAAGTCTTAAAAATTAAAAATATTAAATTAAATAAAAATTAAAATAAGCAACCTTAAAGCTTAATTTTGCTAATTCTTTTCACTAAAGCAGATTTTCATTAATTATTATTATTTAACCCTACCTTATATAATATGCGCTCGACATTGTATAATATATATTATATAATGTAAAGCGCAATAATTAATAATAATGATACGTAGTAGATACAGATATTTCCCATTATATATATATATATATATATATATATATATATATATATATATATATATATATATATATATATATATATATATATATATATGTATACATATATATACATATATATATATATATAATATATATATATATATATATATATATATATATATATATATATATATATATATATATGTATATATATGTATATATATGTATACATATATATATATATTATATATATTATATATATATATATATATATATATATATATATATATATATATATATATATATATATATATATATATATATATATATATATATATATATACTTTCATAACTCATCATGACATATGAAAGTATATAATCATCAATATAAGTCAATATACATCAATATAAAGTCTATAATTTATTTTTTAAATCAAATATATGTATTTCAAGTTGTATTAATATTACAACATATCAATATTTGTATATGAATTTACGTATCATATATTATATAATATTAAGTACATAATATATATAAGTCAATATATAACTCAATATATCAAATTATTATATAATATAATATTATATATGATACGTAAATTCATATACAACATATCGTACGCCATATGATATATCATATGACATGATGTTATATATGAATTTATGTATCATATACAAGTTGTTGTATAATAATATTATAAAACAACTTTATTTGATACGTAAATTCATATATAACATATGATACCATTCATACATAGCCTATAATATGGTACCTAATTTCATATATAACTTAAAAATTACATATAGTAATTAATTTTGTATATAACTTGAAATATATATTTGAAATAAAATGTGAATTATAGACTTTATATAGTATATACTATATAAAGTCTATAGTTCACATTTAATTTAAAGTTATACATGAAATTGAATATAAAATAACATAGAGAGTTTTATATGACTCATATACTCTTATTATGAGTCTTCGTAATATATTATATTATAAATACTCGTATATCTAGATATTATAAATATCTAGATATACGAGTATTTATAATATAATATATTACGAAGACTCATAATATGTAACATAACATAATAAAGATATCTTTATATTATATAAAGACGTATAAACTATATGAGTATATATATTCCACAACTTTTCATTTAATGTTTAATAACTTTCCATTTAATGTTATTCTATAACTTTATATTATTTTGTAACTTTCACTATCTATTTGATATGAAATATACAAAGTATATATGTTTTTACTCGAGTCTATATATATTTAATAAACTTAAGTAAAAAATATATATACTTTTTGTATTTCATTTCAAATAGAAATGAAAGTTATAGCTTTACTGTATATTCTAAGACTAAGACTCTTAGTCTTGGAATATACAGTAAAGCTATAAGTTTATAAGTAAACAGTTAGGTAAACTTAAACAGTAAAGCTCATGTTATAATTTTAGGCATGTAAATTATTTGCTAAATAAACTTTATTTACATGCCTAAAATTATTATTTAATAAAGTTTCTTTTCATTTTAGAGTTAACTCTTACTAAGCTTAGTAAGAGTTAACTCTAAAATGAAGAGTTACCTCTTACTAAGCTTAGTAAGAGTTAACTTGAAAATGAGGAGAATCTTTATTAAATAAAAATTTAGGCAAGTAAATAAAGTTTATTTACATGCCTAAATTTTGGGCATGTAAATAAACTTTATTTACTTGCCTAAAATTATTATTTAATAAAGTTTCTCTTCATTTTAAAGTTATTTAATAAAGTAACATTTAATTTAATAAAGTAACATTTTTAAAGTTATTTAATAAAGTAACATTATTAAAAAATAATTTTAGGCTAAAATTATTTTTTAATAATGTTACTCTCTTAATTTTAGAGTTACCTCTTAGTATTTAATAAACACTAATAAAATAAAACCATAAATCACTATATATCGATATCGACCAATCAAAGTCTCATGGCGCTTGAAACGCTTGCTTTTGATGTTTTTTACGACAGCTTACCGCCATCCAAAAGCCCACTTTGGCATTGTGTGGGCAAAGCTACAGCGTATCGTGATGAACTTACCGAAGCTGGCATGCCCATTTAAAATTGCATTGGCGACGAAGTGTTTTATCGCTTTTCGGCCGATGGCGGAAAGCCAACATAAAATAGGATGCCGGTCCTGCATCAGCTACCCGGCAGCGGCAAGCCGCATTAGGCATAACAAAGGGTCAGCACTGGCTTACCGGCGGCGGCTTTGCGCATCACGGTCCGCTGAAAGCATGTTTGCTGGGTGCTGTCCTCCATTTTTCTTTAGACCATTCTTTGACACTTTGGCAAAATTCTTTTTGCTTTTTTATATGTTGTTTGATAAGGTTTTAGAACAGCTTTTTTCCATAGCATATTGTAAGCAATTAATTTCCTACGCACAAGTGATGCCGATGCTTGACGTCTATTTGAAAGCTTCTATTCCCTTCTAAATTCATACAACGGCATGATTCGATTTTTTCTTGCCAACCCGATTAAAAGAGATCATCATTGGGTGTCGTCAAACGCGGTCTTACAAAACGATGGCGATCAACGTAAGATTTTGTCTCTCTCAATCTTTTGATGATTGTTAGCACCGAACTATGTGTTCCTTTTATTATACGTTTATATCGGAAACCATTTCCTTTATCGCACTCGTATTTATACTATATGTCTTTACTTGTGGGACAATTCAGGTAACCTTAATTATTTTGCTAGAAAAAATTCTACTTGAAATAAACTTATAACGGCTTATGTATTCATACTTTTTAAATTTTCTGAAATTGTTTTCTATTTGTAATTACCAAGTAATTTTAAAATTAATCAATTTTAGCATTTATTAAGGTGAGTTTCCACTCATCCGTTTTTTTACGCGAATTGGAAAGGAAATTAATTCATAATAAATAAGAATACATACTTAACCAGATACTCAAACAACACTTATATTCAGCCCAAAAGTTTTTTTGCAGCAACGGAGTTTTCAATATCTATTAGAAGGCCAAAAGTATGGAATAAATTTATATCTAATAAACTTAAAACTTATGAAACTCTTAACGAATTCAAAGCAATATTGAAACAAATGCTTCCGGTAAGTGACGGAGTGCATGACTTCTTCTAAAAGTTAAGCTTACTCGATTTATTTTAAAGTTTATCTTTCCAATCTATTGTCACTTTGGGCGAATCATAAGCTATATACTTAAATGTATATATATATATATATATATATATATATATATATATTTTTTTTTTTTTTTTTTTTTTTTTTTTTATGGAGAGATTCAGGTTTTTATCGCCTTTACTTTTGATTAATAATATTAATTAGTATTTAATCTTAATTAACATCTTTTTATTTATTCTTATCTTAAAAGAGTTAAACCAACAAATTTTTATTTTTTATGTATTTATTATTCTTTAATTTTAAAAGTTTTATTTTTTATGTATTTGTTATTCTTTTTATATATTTCTACTATTTTTATATATTTATTTCCAGAAAATCTCATTTCTTATATACTGGTTACAATTATATATGTTGTAAGTAATAATTTTTATTTTGCGGAGTCAACTCTCGAGGCTTGGTGATAAGACAAGTTGTGTCTTCATCTTGCCATCTGTATTTATACTGAAATATTGATTGTATGTATATATACCTATATTGGCAAAACAAAAACTTTATGACAATAGCTTAGCCCAAATAATCAAGATGTTACAAAGTTATATTTCTTTATGAAGCAATGAAATGTTTATATCCCATCAGCAGTTCCATAACACCAGCAGAATTTTCATAACTATTATAGACATGGTTTTTGTTTAAGATCGCTATTTTTTTACAATAACAAAGAATATCAATACACCATGGATTATTAAAGGTTTTAAAAAATCATCGAGAACAAAACATAAGTTATATATAAATTTTTTAAAAACAAAAACAGCTTCAAGTAAAAAAATTTGTAAAAACTACAAAAACAATTTGAAAAAATTCGCGAAAACCTAAAGAAAAATTATTATACCCAACTATTCAATACATTTAAAAGCGACACAAAGCGTACGTGGCAAATAAGGAAAGAAATTATTGGCAAAAAAAAATCATGCTCTGGTTTCCTGCCACAAATAGTTAGAGGCAATAACAAATGTTTATATGAACCAAGAACTATAGCTCAAGAATTTAACAAATATTTCACTCAAATATGACCAAATCTTTGTTTACTGATTATCTAGAACTCATGGATAATTGCATTTGTTCAGATGAGTTTTCAAATATGTTTAAAAAAAGTTTTCAAATATGTTTAAAAAAATAAAAAGCAGTTAGAGCAGATCAAATTGGTTAAAGATTGCTTTGAACAATTTAAAGTTCTTTTTTTTTTAAAATCTTTACAGCTTCTATTTTCAAGGAGTATTCCCAGAACAACTAAAAAGTGAAAAAATTATTTCTATTTTTAAAGAAGGGGACAAATCTGAAACCAGTAATTATTGCCCCATCTCTGTTCTCTCCACACTTTTTGAAAATTCTAGAAAAATTTATCATTCGAAAAATCACAATATACACAAGAAATTTCCATTGACCTATCAAAAGCTTTTGATACGGTCGATCACCCTATTTTTATTTATAAACTCAAATACTACGGAATAATAATAAAATTTTCAAATGGTCTAAAAGTCATCTATCTAACCCAAAACAATTTTTACCATTTAACAATGGTCAACCTTTTCTTAATATAACTTATGGAACCCACAATATTCAGTTCTTGGACCTTTCAGTTTTTTAGTTTATAAAAATGACTTAAATAAAGCTTCAAAACTAACGAGCATCATGTATGCATGGAGATGATACAAACTTATTCCTTTTTAACAATGATATCGTTGAATTTTTTAAAATGGTGTACGAAGAACTCAGAAATGTATCTAATTAGTTCAAGTGTAATAAATTAACCTTGAATACTAATAAAGCAAAATGGTTTTCATTCCATTCGATTACAAAAAAGCGATTTTTCCCATTAAAATTATTTCAAGTCTTTATCGATCAAAAGGAAATAAAGGTGAACAGATTCTATCTGTTGACCCCTTTTTTATCTATTAAGCTGGCACAGATATATTTTTAAAACATTGATTCAAGTTTAGGATGTTGAATGCTGAATCTTCTTGACTCGATGCATGGGTTTTGCTTGTGTCTCTGTTTATGACTAGGCAACTCATTCTATTATCTCCTAATGAGGGTACAGCTCTAAAACTAAGTTTTATGGTTTTAAGGCCAGCTGCTAGTCAGGTTTCCAGAGCTCTGTTGTGGCTCTCAGAGAGACTGATTCCATCAACAGCTGAAAAATATCAAAGTATTAACAGTCCCATGTTGCGCATGGATGGTGTCCCATGGATGGTGTCCCTATATATCATCACATTGAATGGCTTGGCTCTAGTGTCAGTGGCTCTGCAGGCATTAAAGTCCACATTTTGCCATGCTCAATTCTTAACTCATATAGTAACTTTCTAACTCGCTTTCCAGACAACCCGAATCATTTAACTTTTCTGCTCGACTTATGTCTTATTTCTGACCTTAGTCAGTGCTCAGTTTCTTCACTTTCACCTTAGGTGCTTCTGATCGCAGTTTGATCTCTCTAAAACTACTATCTCATTCCTCTTTATCATCAGAATCTCCCTATCATCGTACATCTTACAACTACCTTAAAGCTGAATGGGACTCTTTCCTTGGTTTTCTTCGTAATGGCCCTAGGGTAGAAATCTTTCGTCTTCCTGTTGAAAAATGTGCCTCTTACATAATTTCGTGGATTCAGGCTGACATGGAATCCTTTATTCCCTCTTGACGATTCCAGGTCAAGCGTCACTCTTCTCCATGGTTTTCCTCACATTGTACTGCTGCAATTGCCAATTGAACCATTACTTCCATATCTATTAGCAAAACATTTCTCCAGAAAACAGACGTCTGTTTATTATTGCTAGGAACCATTGTAAAAAGGTTATGTCTAATGCCAAAGCCCGCTATTCTAAGGTCATGAAATCTCATATTTCATCACAAAAATTAGGCTCTCGTGACTTCTGGAGAATCTTTTTTAGTATCAATAATAAGTGCAAGTCTGTAATTCCATCTTCTTCGTATGGTTCAGACTTTGTCACCTTGCCTAAAGAAAAAGCTGAATTATTTGCTAAGAGCTTTTTTGGTGTATCTGGAAACATCTTTAAGATTATTGAATCCTTCCTTTCCAATTGTAGTATAAAAGTTGTCCTTGATGGACAGCGTTCTTCTTCTTATTCTGTAACCTCAGGGGTTTCTCAAGGTTCAATCCTTGGCCCTATACTCTTTTTAATTTACATTAACAATCTTCCATATATTCTCAAATTAACAATCTTCCATATATTCTCAAAGGGGAAGTACAGAAAAAAGTTGCAACGCCTTTATCTCCGTCAAAAACGCGGAATCAGTGTAACCATTTTCGCTTTTTTTATTCAAAGCATTATTTTATTGAAATAAGAGTTCTGAATATATACGAGTTAAATGTATTTAATATTTTATGTTTTGTATAAATAACTTATCCCTTGCCGTTTTCAAAGATCTTTTTACTTTTAAACCAATCAGTAAATATATTTTGAGAAATAATAATTTTTTAAAAGAATTTTTTTGTCAAAGAAATATTAATCAGTTTTGGATTACCTATCGAGCGCCACACCTTTTGAACAAAATTGTTTTGCCGATTTTTAATTTTGAAGTACAATAAAAACAATAAAAGTTTCACAATCTGCGCAACAGCGCTATCTATTTCACGAAATGAGCAAAAAGTTGCACAGTTCGTGAAATGCGCGACTTCACGATCTGCGCGTAACATATATATTTTTTTGGTTTACATTTGTAAATATATATATATATATATATATATATATATATATGTATATATATATATATATATATATATATATATATATATATATATATATATATATATATATGTATATATATATATATATGTATATATATATATATATATATACATACGATATGTATTCTTCAAAAAAGATTGCTTAATGTTAAGCTGGAGCAAGAAGAAGGCACACTTTGCCGAATCAAATAATTAAAAAATTCTATATAACCGTAACATACAAATATATATAAAAATATAAATCAGAATTAAAACAGAAAATAACTAAGAAAATAAAGAACTTCAAAATAGCAAGTAATTAAAAAGTGTTAAAATGCTAAATTGTTTAAGAAATACTTAAACAAAAA